GGGACTCAGGGACCAGAATAAAGAGACTAAGACTCAATCCTAAACTTTAGGAGGGAAGGTTGAAAGGAGTTTATACACTTTGTATTATGCTCTGTATAAGGACAGGCTAGAAAACAAGCAAAAACAAGACAAAACAAAACTTCACCTCTACAAGATACAAAAAGGAATTTGCCTTTTTCAGTCTTGGTGTTTTTGGCAGGAGAAAACTGTCCTCTCAATACATGACCATAAACTTCTCTCTTTTGTGGCTTTACAACCCTAATTTATGCTACATGAATAATCTAAAAGACCATGCTGAGAAGTCAAGTTAAAGTGCTTCCAGAGGGACAGTGTCACTCAAAAGTCTATCCTAACTCTAGTTCAGGCTTATTTCCATTATGCCGTATGTCTTCTCATTGTTTAGAGTCTGTTGAAATCATTCCCCAAAGAATTTAGTGTGCTACAGGTATATTTTATGTCATTCTACCAAGGCAAATAAAACCATAAATTATGAGAACAAGCTTTCAATTAGTGTGACCCTTAAAATACCTAATGACCACATAAAGTAAAAAACAAACAAACAAAAAACCAGATAAAGTTTAAAAAAGTGAATCAAGTCATTCTAAGGTAGTGTCACTATTGTTTAATTTTCTGTAATGCTGTAGTCCAGCGTCAATATTGGTAGACACACTAGAAGTCAGTGCCTTAAAAAAACAGGAAAGTAAAATGCAAACAGAATATACAGTGATTCTTTAGTCATACTAGTATTTATGATTTCTGCAAAGAGAAACATAGGAAGGACAAACCAGAAACAAATAAACATGTTTAACTACATGAAGTGGATGGAACAGGGCAGAAGAGATGAGAGTGTGTATCTTTCTTTAAAATTATTTATTTATTTATTTATTTATTTAACCTTTTATTGACTTTATTGGGGTGACACTAGAGAGTGTACACCTTTCCACATAGTTTTGAGTTCTGAACCATGTTAAAGTTTTTATATACTAAAAAATGTACAGTTTAAGAAAAAACAAAACAAGAAACACTAAAACTGAGCACAAACAGAATCAAACAAACTTAGCTGTATATGTTATGACTAGGTGCCCAGTGCACGAATTTGTGCACATTGAAAGAAAATTAATGAGAATATTTTAGTATCGTTATTCGCCCTTTCTCTATAATAAAAGTGTCAACCAAATTCACGATTGACAATGACAGATGGAAACACATGCGTGTGATTGGTGCCAGCAAGAGTTTTATACATATTGTGCATGTGTGAGTCAACTTAGCCTTTTATATACCTAGAATAAACTTGCTTAACTACACTGCTTTCTGATTTAGCTAAACTTTTTCCAGCCCACAACTTCTCTTTCAGGTAATTGTCAGCAACACAGCAGTAAATATCAACATGAAGATTATTATTGTAGATCACTCAGTGAGAACAAAGGGTAAAATATGTAACTGCAGCAGTGTTTGACTATATTCTGCGCAGTGAAAAATCTGAAGTCATTTTCAAGGTCCACCATTTCTTAGTTCTTTTCAGTCGGGTCAAGTTCAAAGCTTTCTAAATCTCAGTTTTTTGGCTACTGAAAAGAAAATAGGATTCCACCAAGTCTCCTATCTACCTACTCCAGGACTTCTGTGAGGATCAATGAGATGAAGCATGGGAAAAAGCCCCATAGACATTTGGTTACAGTGTGAAATGTCTGCACATGGCTATAAAGCAAGTTGTGTTCTTGGGCTGAAGAAACTACAAGGAGGCTAGTTGCTAGGGAGAGGAAGCCGGGTGTTGCTACTTGACATCATTACCAGATGGACAATTAGCATATTAGCTTTTTATATATATAGATAGATAGGAGGAATAATTCAAGTAACTTTTTTTTTTTTTTACAGAGAGGAAGAGAGAGGGAGAGTTAGAAACATCGATGAGAGAGAAACATCGACCAGCTGCCTCTTGCACACCCCCCATTGGGGATGTGCCCGCAACCAAGATACATGCCCTTGACTGGAATCGAACCTGGGACCCTTCAGTCCACAGGCCGATGCTCTATCCACTGAGCCAAACCGGTTTCAACTAATTCAAGTAACTTTTGAACCAAGTGTTCTGTATAGTCTCAGTGGAATATATATATAAGGACAAAAAAGACTTTGAAGAAACTCTGAACCTAGACAGTTTGTTATTATATGATACTGATATTCCCAAAACCATTTTTGTGTTTATTATGATACAGCAAGTGGGTAAATATACTGATGTTGTTGGGAACCAGGTTATTCATTGTATGGGAAAGGAAATACACAATGAAATATGGAAAATACAAAATGGAATTAGAGTTATCAGTATAAATTCATGAGAATAAAAAACAAACCCCTGAAACTACATACATAATACATATACATATCTACTGAACAGATTGAGAAGCAATGATACCTCATCGTAATGAGTACACATATTGCCCAAATCCTAGTTTGTAAGCACTATTTTCAGTTCCTTAGAGAAATTATAGGTCTAAGGTAGGCCCAAGGTAACATAAAGAATATCTTGTGCCAGAAAGCAAGGAAATGCTCAAGGATTAGTGGTGATATCTGAAAAGGACACTAGTTTGAAAGGCTCCCATTGAAGTGGTCCAAGATGGTGATGTTGGAAGATCCTGAACTCACCTTAACCAAACTATCAACAATAATGAGATAAAATTACATTATGTATCTGTTGAGGAAATGCAATGAGAAGTCCATACCCATAAAGTATTCTTGGCAAAATTGTCTAATCAGAATCGTGAGGAATATTCAAACAAATGTAGGTTATTAAAAAACAAACAAACCTGGCCTGGATTCTTAAAAAAAAGTTAGCATCATGAAAGATTAAAGGAAAAGGAAGGGAGGAAGGGAGGGAGGAAAGAAAGGCTGGGGCACAGTTCTAGACTGGGATTAAGGGCCTGGGCAGTTTGGCTTGAACTAGAAGGTGACAGTTCGATTCCTGGTCAGGGCATGTCCCTGGGTTGTGGCCTTGATCCTCAGTAGTGGGTATGTCAGAGGCAGCCAATCTCGATGATTCTCTCATCACTGATGCTTCTCTCTCCCTCTCCCTTTCTCTGACATCAATAAAAAACATATTAAAAAAAATAAGATAAGATAAAAGGGACTAAAGCATTGATAACCAAATGGAACATGAGATTCCTGACTAGATCCTAGATCGGGGAGAAAAACATCTATAAATTATATTTTGGGACAGATAGAGAAATCTAAGTATTTGACTATCAATTAGATAAGATTATTATTTAAATATTAAATATTTGGAGACAATGGTATTGTACTTATGTAGAATGTCCATGTTATTAGAAGATATATCTTGAAACATTTAGGGGTGAGATATGATACTTGCAACTAACTTTCAAATGGTTCACTGTAAAAATAAAGTATATGTGCACATGTAAAGAGATAAAGCAGCCCTGGCCAATGTGCTCCATGGTTAGAGCATCAGCTCCCACACGAAAAGGTCGCAGGTTCCATTCCTAGTCACGGGCATGTGTATGGGTAGCAGGTTCATCCCCAGCCTAGTCAGGGAGTGTGTGGGAAGCAACCAATTGATGTGTCTCTCTCACATGGATGTTTTTTATCTTTCCATGCTTCTCCCCCCGACCCCGCTTCTACTCTCTCTAAAAAATCAATAAGGCAGCTTGGCTCGTGTGGCTCAGTGGTTGAATGTCAACCCATAAACCAGAAGGTCACGGTTCGATTCCTGGTTAGGACACATGTCCAGGTTGCAGGCTCAATCCCTGGGGAACGCTAGCACAATGAAAGCCTCAATCCCTGAGGCAGCCAATCGATAATTCTCTTTCATCATTGATGTTTCCAAATCTCTCCCTTCATCTCTCTGAAAACAATAAAAAATAAGGCAAAAGTGGCTGAATGATGATAAATGTTGATTCCAGATAAAAAAATATATAGGTATTCAATGTATTGTTCCTACAACTTTACTGGGTTGAAACCTTTCAAAATAAAGTTGTGAAGGAAGGAAGGAATGGGAACCACCAAAAAGGCTATCAACAGGGAACAGGTTCAATAAAATATGAGAGACACAATAAAATTTGATGCAGGTATTTAAGCTCTTTACATACCCATTTGGAACAATTATCAAGCTGTGCTTTTAAGTAGTAAAAGCAAAGTACATTACTATGTGTACAGTATGTTACCATTTATATTAGAAAATGGAGAAAAATATTTTCATACTAACTTCATATGCAAACAAACCAAAATAAATGCCTTAAAGAATAAACTAAAAATGAATAACAGTGGTTGTGTGTTAGGGAGATGTAGAAACTGGGTCAATGTGGTACACAAGTGCGAGATTTTTGTTTGGCTTTGTATAAAATTTTAAAATGGCCCTGGCTGGGTAGCTCAGTTGATTAGAGCATCATCCCAATATGCCAAGGTTGAGGTTTCGATCCCTTTTCAGGGCACATATAAGAATCAACTGATAAATGCATGAATAAGTGGAACAATAAATTAATGTTTCTCTCTTTCTCTCTTCTCTCTCTCTAAAAATCAATAAATTGAAAAATATATTTTATATATTAAAAATATTATGATCTTGTGAATAAATTGTCTTCTCAAATACTTAGAAAATAAAAAATAAACGAACGAGTTAGGAAAGTAGAGGCAGGGGGCTATAAAGTTTTGTTTCATTTTATAAATAAAATAAACTCAAATAGAAGGTCTGAAACTTAAGACTTCAGAAGACATTTATGCATGCTTAAGTGAGAGGGAGGGAACATTGGCACAATGAAAGCCTCAGACAAAGGCTAAGGGATGGGACTCAGGGTCATGGGGAAGGATACATGAGACATAAGGGGATATGAGATGTCTGAAAAATCTTTTCCTCCAGATGGTCTCTGCAAGAAAGTGTTCTTGAGACTGGATGTCTTTGTGGAAAGTGACTTGGCCACATTTAAAAATACATCTCACCACACTCAGGGTAATATAGTCTAAGTGTAGAGATTCTCATCCATCACTGATTCTCTCACCTGGAGTAGGGCCTTCTAATATTTCTTTCATCACCATCCATGGTTCTTCCAATATAGGAATCACAGTTGGTCTGTACACTGTAAGTCCTGTTCAAGGGGAATATAATGAGTTTTATCCTGGGTATAAACATTTGTTCAAATTTTGTTACCTGATTTCTCCAAATGGATAGACCCCTACAGGAAAACAGTAGTTCATGGATGTGTCCTTGTGCTTTTCAGAGCGAGGCACCTTGAAGGATATGTGCTTAGGGATCATGGGGGAAGGAGATCTTAGGCGAAGTAGGGTATGAGCAAGGCACAGCACTGGGTGGCAGCCCCGTGACACTGCACATCAGTTTTCAATGATCTTCTACTCAGAAACCTTTCCCTTGGGATAAGGACTAGAACATAGCCATTTCTGTGCCCAAATGCAATGAGCACAACTGATCTCTAGGCCTCCATTCTTAGCAAAGTCCTTTACAGGTCCAACCCATTTTTAATAATGGAGGGGGAAAAAGATACTCTGGTGGCTATGCAGGGGCAGGATGGGTGGAGATGTTGCTTACCTAGAGAAACCATGTTCCAGTAGTTCTGTAACGTTACAGTCTTGTACAATTCCTTCTGCACAGGACGCATTAGCTCCCAGTCCTCCTGGGTGATATCCACAGCCACATCTCTGAATGTCACCGATTCCTAAAACATCAAATATAATTAACTTGGTTCAGGAAAGTGATAGTGATAATACCAGGTAGGTGTGCGGTGGAGAGAAATCAGAATCTTGAGCTTCAGTAGGGCCCTAAAAGTTTTCTAGTCAAAACTTTCACCCAATGTATGGATGAACATACCTGAATGGCTATAAAGGGAAGCTTGAAAATACTTTTAGTTTGGAATTATCATTTTTCAATTGCCACTAATGCATACATTGGTGGCTTCATCTTAAAGAAGAAAGAGTTTTAAACACAGATGACACAGAATTCAATGGTTTTGCTCTTCAAGCTCTGCCTTAAGAAAAAGTTCAGTGAAACTTTGATATTCTGTGTGCTCTATGCTGAGATGCAGAGCCCTCTCCGTCTTCACCACAGTTTAACTGCCTACATTTAGATACATTTCACATCTCTTTGGTTAAAAAAATTCGAGTACACTTACATGGTTTTCAAATAAACTATGTTTCTTTAAAAACTTATATTGGGATTTTGAAATCATATTAAGTTTATAAGTTAGGGAGAACTTTTTTTACAATATTCACGGCTTCTTTCACATCCTATAGAATGATACAGAACATGAAGGTATTGCAAAATTTATACTCTGCTTAAATATCTATTTTAAATTTGAAAGGGGGGAGTAATAATGTGAATGTAATATTTTATTTCATTTTATCATCTATATAATTTTTATGTATAAAAATGATTAATTTTTGCATGCAATTTACTCTAGCAGTCACTTCACTCAAATTTTTATTATTGGTTTTAATAGTTTTTCCCTTGATTTTCTTCTATTTTTTCAGATAAACATTCATATTGCCTATAAATAATTTTATAATGGTTACCAATTGCAGAAATCTATGTTTTTACAGTAAATCTTTCTCTTAAAATGGGCTGAGTTGTTCTTCCTTAAAATAAAATAGACTAATGATCAAAAGTACCTCCATATAATACATTGCCTTTAACCACTTGTTCACGAGAAAAAATATCAGTAACTATTGTTCATCCTACTGTGATCTTATTGATTACTTACAATATAAGGTAACAAGTCTCATAATATCTAATCCTCATAGAGGAATATTTTATTTATTAGAGTCAAATAACTCAAGCTGAATGGTTAAGTATCTTTCCTCAACTTACAAGTCAATGGTAGAACCAGGAACCAAACCTAGATCCATCTGGCTATGCAGGTCAATCCCTTAACCTCAACGCCATTCTATTGCCTTAAAGAACAAAGTGAGCAAAAGCATCCCTATTTCCTACACAGGCATTCATCTTCCTTAACAGGCCAGCATGGCTGAAAGAGAAAAACAGGCTTACGTCCTTGATTGGGTTTTTGGGGTCACAGAAGTTAGAAGGACAGGAAAGAAAAAGTTAGGAGGACAGGAAAGAAAGACTATGAAGACTTTTTAAAATCACAGAAGAAACTAAAACTCACTTTGGTCACCAAGTCATTTAGCCACCCAGCCTGGAAAGCATGTTTTCCTTTGGGGTCTTCCTCTGGGATCTCTTGGGGAAAGGCAGAGTTTGGAGGAGCAGCTAGGGAAGAGAAAGAGACCATGCTGGAGATAAGTCCTATTTGAATTGCCAAATAGATGCCTATATTATCTTTCCCTCCCTCCCTCCCTCCCTTCCATTTTTTTTTTTTTTTTTATAGATGCCTATATTTCCTTAAAGTGAGAAGTCACAAGGAAAGCAAAAACAGCACCCCTATTTAAAAAAAAATCAGTAGGAAGAAGCAAGGACTTGTCCTAAGACTTCGGTGCAGGCTTTAAGAACAAGTCTGCCCTGGCACTGTTAAGTATATATACACTAAATTCACAATTTTCTACTAAATCCTCATGTGATGTAAATTTTGTGAGTTGTATCTTCACTTAATAAGCAAATGTTATCTGGACCTTTTTCTACCTATTTAGAAGTGTTACTGTAAAACCCAATTCAAAAAGCAAATGATTTATTGGCAGAATGGTTCAGACCTCTGCAGGTACACTTCCTGAGGGCTCACAAGGGGGAAATCTGGTTGTGTCTGATCACTGTTTTATGACACATCTCCTCTGGGTTTAGAGAATGTGTCTGTGGTTTCAAGAAATCTGAAGGGGAATAGCATGAAGAATGAGGATCATGTTCAAGCCTGTTCTCACCCCCTCACTGACCTTCCGTCTCCCCATTTCATTAACAGGCTGCTCTATGATGTGCTTGTTGTCTTCTTTAACCATCCAGGACTCCTCCCCTCTTTGCTCTATAATTCTCACCTTCATCTTCTAGAATCTTAGTCAAATCCTCCACCAGGGTCACTACTTCCTCGCTGCTCTCTGGGTACTGGGACTTTACCCACGTCCTAACCTCCCCAGGCAGGATGGTCAGGAATTGCTCCAGCACCAGCAGGTCCAGGATTTGTTCCTTTGAGTGAATCTCAGGTCTCAGCCACTTCAGGCAGCGCTCTCGGAGTTGATTCAATGCTTTTCGAGGGCCAGCCAAGTCTGGGTATGGAAAATTCCTAAAATTCTGTCGACAGGTCTCAGTGTCACGCCGGAGTCTTGAAGCAAGGCTTTCCTTTTCGGCATGGCTGGGCCCACTCTGAGCCTTGTCTGGCTTCCACATTAGAAAGAGTTGGGAGCGGGAAGAACTGGTCATCCTCTTGCTCGGGGCTGACATTGCTGGGGGTTCAATCTGGCAATATCCTTTATTTTGTGAGCCAACTGCTTGAAGTCTCATGCTAGAGCCACAAGGACATTATATGTAGGGCTGCTGCCGCCAGAGGCACAACAGTCAATGTAGAGTTATCAGCCTTAGTTACAAATTCTGAGCCTACTTGCAGGGATGGTTAAAGAACCCTAAAACACAAAAATAGACCACAAATTCAAGAATTCCTGGTGCTCCCTCCTATACACATACACAAACAGAAATAGACTATCCAGTGTGCACAGAAAGAAACATACAGACTTCCTCATGGCCAGTGCGCTCAGTGGCTGGAGAGCACCGCAGGGTCAAGGATTCCATTCCCGTCAAAGGCATGTACCTAGGTTTGTTCCCATGCCTGATTGGCACGTGTGGGAGGCATCCAATCAATGTGTCTCTCTCACATGGATGTCCCCTCCCCCCTTCCTTCCATTCTCTAAAAATCAATGAAACTATTATCCTCAGGTGAGGACTAATAGCAACAAAAACCACACCACAACCTCCGTCCCAGGCCCCCTCCACCCCCAAGCCATACAGACTTTACCTTGGTTTACTTTCTTTCTATCTTTAGACTTCTAATAAAGGGCGAGCCATTTACCTGCCTTTGCATATGAATTCCGGCCTATTGCTTTTCATTGACCCCTGGGGGGACCAACCGCGTGGACTGGAAAAAAGAAGAGGTTGGTGTGATCTGAAGCCCTTACATGCTTCTAAAGCAGACAATTCCTTCTGAACACACCGAAACCAGGATGGCGGTAGAAAACCCCAACAGGCCTGACCGGGAGAAGAACCCTAACACCTGTCCAGGCTCCAGCTCGGAGCCTCCTCAACCACAGCCCCGTCACCAAGGCCAGATGTTTACAAGGTCCTGCCCAGCAGATGTGCTGACCTTGCCGCCTGTCGCCTCCCCTTTCCAGAGGTCTCCGAGCTCCTTCAGCCGGAGGCCCCCGGTAGCAGCATTTACCCCGTGCCCACCCCCCGCAGGCCGCCAGCACGGGCGTCCGTGACATCATTACCTGTCGCCGGGACGGAGAGGCCGGAGGCCCCGGCACAGTGGCGGCCGGCGGGGCCCTGGCGGCGGGCTCGGCCCCGCGCTGCAGAGCGGCCTCTGGCTCCGCCACTGCCCTCCCCGGAGAGCGCGGGCGTCTCGGCCTGGGACGCGCGTCCCACCCCCGTCCCGAGAGGCCCGGCCGGGAACCCGCGGCGCCTCGGGTCCCCGAGACCTCGCCTGGGCGCCACTGCGCATGAGCGCGAGGCCGCCGCTACGTGCCCGCTGAGCCAATCGGAGGCCGTGCCCCGGCTCGCCGCGGACTTGTCGCCATGGCAACCTCCTCCGGCCTAGCCCCGCGACTTGCCGGTTAGCCTTCCGGGTAGCGAAGGGACCTCACTCCAGGCTGCCCTGGTCAGAGGCGGGGCGACGGGAGGTGCAGGGGCGCCCCGCTGCTGCGGGGGAGGAAGCGCGCGGACGGGAGGGTCGGAGCCCCGCGGATTAGCCAGAGTAAACCGGCGCCTGAGTTCCCGGAAGGGTGGCGAGAGGAGTGCGGGTCTAAAGGTGAAAAGCCCAATGCTGGCTGGGGCTCCCTGTAAGCGGACACTCACTGGTAAAGGTTCTGAGTACCTCCTCAGGAATCTGATTCTGAGACTCCCAGATTGTAAAAAACAACAATCTCCGAAAGCATGCTGTTTACAAGAGACTCAAAACATACACAAAGTGCTCGAAAAGAAAAAGATAGAAAAACATAGCCCAGGTGTTCCTGTTACCTAATGCTGTTTTGGCAAACCACTGCCGAACTCAGTGGTTTTAAAGGACAAGCATTATTGTGGTTCACGAATTTGGAAGGGGAACCCCGGGCGTGGCTCTCCTTCGCAGCACTGTCTGGGGCCCCAGTGGAGGCGATTGGCGGCGGGGGGAGGTCCACTTCCAAGAAGGCTTCCTTACCCTCATGTCTTGTGCGTGGGCTGAGGTGGCCTACGGATGAACGCAGCTTGGATTTGACCTGAGTGCCTTCTTGTGGCCTTGCCAGCACGAAGTGCAAAGGTGGTTGGGCTGCTCACATGATGGCCCTGAGCAGTCTTCTAGTGAACCAAGAGAGAGGCTCCCTTGGAAGTCTCATAGCATCACTTCCATCACACTCCCAGTCAAACCAGTTACAAGTCTATGCAGAATCAAGCAGAGGTGGATGTAGACCCCAACTCTTGATGGGAGGGGTGTCAGAGAGTCCTAAAGTTTCCACACCAGGCAAATGCGTCAACTTGGCTAGGCTACAGTCTCCCACTGTTCAGCCACATTTTAATCTGGCAGCCAGTTTACTGGCGGTGAGGGCTCTGTCACCTAAGGTTGGTGCAGTGCTAAGAGTGCATGTGAGGCTGCAGTAGCATGATTGTTAAAACTGTCCCTGGTGCAGAATGTGCATGGGGCACTGATGGAAGGGAATGCACTTGGGGATGCCATATCTCAAATCTTTGTGAGATTGGGCAGGTAGCCATCTTAAGGACTATGGAACGAATGGCTCTTACTGAGAACTATTGACAAGGAAAGGCTGAGAGGGTGGTTAATTACCAATTTAAGGAAAAGTGTAGAGCTCCTTGAAGCCGGATGATAAAATGTAAGAGCCGCATAACTTCAGATAAGGTTGAATCCTCAACTCCAGAAAGCTTGCATTGCTGAGATCAGACCTGCTTAGAAAAGAGTAGAACCCTGAGACGCAGGATGGGAATGTTTGGATTAATGTAGGCTAACATCTCAAAACACCAATCCCTCTAAATTCTCTGGGCCTGCAAAAGTGGCCCACTTGAATTGATACAGAGGTCTCTACTTTACAATAAAACCTGTTCCCCTCTCACAATCTACTCTTTGCTCCCCTCCTGGTCACTACCAATAACTAGGGTCAAGTCACCACAGAACCCACTAGGAAAAATGTGGGGCCTAATAAGGGAGGAAAAGAACTATTCCTGGCTGGGTAGTTCATTTGGAAAAACACTGTCCTGATACATTGAGATTGCAGGTTCCATCCCTGGTCAGAGCACATCAAGAAGCAACCAATGACTGCATACATAAAGGAAACAACAAATGATGTTTCTCTCTCTCTTGCTCTAAAATCAATAAAAAAAGCACTATTCTCTGAAGTTACTGCAGACTCTTGCCACGCTGTCTGTAGGAACTAGAAGAGTATATGGGTCTGGATTCTGGGGATGCTGGATCAAGGAGGGCAGAACCCTATAGTTGAGTACTGGCAAGGTTATTGAAAATGATATATTTGATATGTTTATAGTCCTGTGATAAGGGTGTAAACATTCTGGAGAGGATGCCAGGAGATGGTGCTATGTATTGCTAGGACCCTTGGAGGCTTGGAAAAATAGATGGAAGCAGAAATGCCAGAATTGCTTGACAAATGATAAAAGAAGGGTTTTGCAAGGCTCAGAGACATAAGTACCAAGAACAGGCGGAGTATATTAGGTTTGAAAATGAATCAGAATATATAGAGCTGGAAGGCTTGGGAGACCTTCTATTGGTATAGAATGTGCTAATGGGAGGGGGCACCAGTATCCCTGAAAAGTTCAGTGGTGGCTGTCCTCTGCAGGCTGAGGCTGACAGTAGGGGCTTTGTTACAGAACTGGGCTTTATGAGGGTGGCACTTAACCTTCAGAAACAGGTGAGCTCAATCAACATAATGAGCAGTAAGATCAAAATGGGAGTGGCATGGGAAAGTAGGGGAAATACTTAACCTTCAGAAAGCTATGGAGACAAAGAACAAGGTGTCCACAGGCACAACATATGGGCACAACCTGGGTGGTGCACAATCTATACCATCAGATGAAACAAAGGGTGAGTGAGTGATTAAGGTTGAGGCTATTCACTGTTCTCAAAACAGCCTGGCACTGGCACAAGAACAGACATATAGATCAATGGAATAGAATTGAGAATCCAGATATCAACCCAAATCACTATGCTCAATTAATATTTGACAAAGGAGGCACGAATATACAATGGAGTCAAGACAGTTTCTTCAATAAATGGTGTTGGGAAAATTGGGCAGACACATGCAAAAGAATGAAACTAGATCACCAACTTACACAAACACAAAAATAAACTCAAAATGGATACAGGACTTAAACATCAGACGGGAAACCATAAAAATACTAGAAGCATCCACAGGCTGCAAAATCTCAGACGTATGCCAAAAGAACTTCTTCACTGATACTACCCCTAGGGCAATGGAAGCTAAAGAGAAAATAAACAAATGGGACTACATCAAAATAAAAAGCTTTTTTACAGCAAAAGAAACCATCAACAAAACAACAAGAAAGCCCATGGTGTGGGAGAACATATTTGCAAATAACACCACTGATAAAGGTTTAATCTCCAACATCTATAGACAGCTGATACAACTAAATAAAAGGAAGGTGAATGATCCAATTAAGAAATGGGCAATGGACCTAAATAGAATATTTTCAAAAGAAGACTGAAGGAAGGCCAAAAGGCACATGAAAACATGCTCAAAGTCACTAATTGTCCGAGAGATGCAAATCAAGACAACAATGCGGTACTATCTCACACCTGTCAGAATGGCCAACATCAACAAATCAACAAACGACAAGTGTTGGCGAGGTTGTGGAGAAAAAGGAACCCTCGTGCACTGCTGGTGGGAATGCAGACTGGTGCAACCACTGTGGAGAACAGTGTGGAATTTCCTCAAAAAACTGAAAATGGATCTCCCATTTGATCCAGTAATCCCACTTCTAGGAATATATCCCAAGAAACTAGAAACACCAATCAGAAAGGATATATGCACACTTATGTTCATAGCAGCACAATCTACAATAGCCAGAATTTGGAAACAGCCTAGGTGCCCGTCAGCAGATGATTGTATCCAAAAACTATGGTACATCTACACAATGGAATACTATGCTGCCATAAAAAGGAAGGAATTCTCATTTGCAGGAACCTGGATGGAATTGGAGAACATCATGCTGAGTGAAATAAGCCAATCAATGAAAAAGAAACACCACATGACCTCACTCATTTGTGGATAATAAAGATCATTATAAACTGATGAACCAAAAGATAGATACAGAGACAGTAAAACAACAAGCAGATTGTCAAATTTCAGCGGGGAGGGGAGGAGGATCTGGGGGAGATAATAGATCAACTGAAGGACTTGTATCCATGCATATAAGTACAACCAATGGACATAAAACTCTGGGGAGGGAGGGGATGTGTGGGAGGGAGGGTGGGGGGAAAATCAATAAAATATGTAAAAATAAATAAATGTTTAAAAAATAAAAATAAAATAAAATAAAATTATAGAATAAAAAAAAAAAAGGTTGAGGCTATTAAAATGTCATATTCTTTTGCCCCATTTACAGACCTCAGGCAGTTTTCAGACCCATAACCCATTGACTAAAGGAGCCAAATTATCAGAAGGAAGGCCCTTGCAACACCACATCAAACATGTAGTGATGATTTTCCAGTCCTCCCCCGAAGGAACCTACCATTACATTGGGAAAAGAGGAGTACCCACATGTGTCAAGGCTATATTTAAGGACTTGAGGCATCATGTTGACCTCTATGATAGAATGGAGGAACATGGGAGCCTGTCTAATGGCAGGTCAATAGGGTTCAGTGTCCCATCAAGTGGTAGTTTCCCAAGACTTTGAATGCACAATCAGAATAAATGTAGTTGTAGTTGGCAAGTCAAATTGGTTTCTTAGCCTGTAGGGTAAAAACTGTCAAAATGGGTAAGGTCAAGTGGAATGCTGTGAAACTGCCTCCCTACTTCATCCTTGGTCAAGATGTAAATTAAAAGTGAGCATCACATCCTAGAGGGAATGGTAGAGATTCATGTCTCTCTCTCTTTTTATAAATATACTAGAGGCCCGTTGCATGAAGATTCGTGCATTAGGCCTTCTTTCCCCTGGCTGCCAGCACCGGTTTTCCGCTGGCACCCAGGGCCCAGGCCTCTTCAGTCTTCAGTCTTCAGTCTTCGCTCCATGCCTCCATAAACAACTTAACCCAACTTTTTTTTAAGGGATAATACAGAGTTTATTGAATTATATTTTTATATTTACAACTGAGATCACATCTACATACTATTTTGCTAGTCTACATGGTACATTATTTCTAACAAAATTAGACTTACGTTGAATGGGCTCAATCATACAAACACACACTCTAATTGTTTTAAAACAGTAGTGCATACATTACATTATATTCCTCCTATAAAGCCAGCTTTAATTAAAAACCTCTAGTTTCAAAGATGAATCTGATTTTGAATATGAACTAAGTTGTACATTGTATAATTCTAAAATCTATTGTAGCCATTTTGTATAGTTGCTATCTTATTGGATTATGGCATATAGTTTTTATAAGGACTCTGATGAGGGGTACCATCTGGTGTTAATTCCTCCTTCCTTCAAAAAAAACACAAAAAAACAGCACACACATTTGGCCAAGAGTTGTCCATTGTGGTACTCCGAGGACCCAGTGGTACTTCAGCAGCAGTCCCATTGCTGCTTGGAGGAAACAGAAGCAGTCCACATCCTCCTTTAATTCTACCACACCATACAACTTGCAAAAGGCTCTGAAATTAGAACATATATCACTTTACTTAAAAACTTAAGGATGTGAAGAGTCAGTTAGAACAGGGGAAAAGGAAGTCTTAAATGGCTAGGAAAGTAAGTGGGCACATGAAGAACCAGACAGCTCTGTCTGACATGTGTGCTTAAACTAAATGAACTGTGGAGGCCAACAGCAGTAGACCTGCTCAATTCACCTTCCAAATTAGAACAAGACGAAAAAGCTCAGGCTTGAGTTTCCTACTATGCATAAGTTCCACCAGTGATGAGGAGCTCAGAAGCTGGATCTCTACTCCTTCTGCACAATACAATGCATGCACAAAGCACGCCCAGCAGCTGAATAGCTGCAAATGCCAGTGCTGCCCAGATGACATGCATCATGATTTCTTGTAGCTTCTTCACAACCAGAGCCTCACAGGAGGGATGGGCCAGACTGCCATTACAGCTGCTGGCAGTCTCTCTGCAGCAGCTAAGAGGGACACTCTGATTTTTGGTTTCTTTGAACCAGTCTGTATTTTCCCAGTCTGAGTAGTTGTGAATTCCACAACAGTGCAGCTGTCTCTGTACATAATCAATAGCCCGGCTAGCAGCATCAGGATTGGTTCCATTATAGGTCTTATATACTTTCTGAATGCTGTGGTCAACCTCATTTTCCACCTTTGCTCTGTAAACATATCCCAAAACCACTACAACAACTTCTGTGACAAAAACTAAGAGTAGCATGATGACAAACGTGGCCAATCCACAGCGGCTTTCCCGGATTGTGGCACAGCAGCCAATTAGCCCAATAATGAAAAGCAAAGCTCCTACAGCTATAATCACCACAGCAGGGATGAGAGTGTACACATCTTCAAAGAAGTGGTCATAGTCATCGTAAGTGATGAAGACATAGGCTCCCACATAGCATAAAATGCCAGCTGCCCCCCAGAAGATGAGGTTGAGAAACACCAGGACAGTCTTGGAGGAGGTGATGCCGCACTGGCCCATGGCGCCCGCAGTCGCTGGGGCCCTGCTCCGGAGCCGGATGCGCCCGCCCAGCGAGGCCTCAATGGCGAGGGCGCCTGCCAGCTGGGATCCGCACAGGCTGCTAGAGGCTCCCCCAGCTCCTGGTGGCCCTGCACAGCCCGGCCCGCCAGCACCTGGCTCCTCTGCGCAGCTGCTCAGCGGGGCAGGTAACCCAACATCTTTGTTGGGTTCGTTTGTCTACTCACTCCTGATCGGCTGGTGGATGTTGTGGAGGTATGGTCAATTTGCATCTTTCTCTTTTATTAGTGTAGATGTATTTATATTATTGAGAGTATTACACATGTCCCCCAATGCCCCCCTTGCTTCCCTCCACTCAGCTCTTGTCCCACCCCAGACCTCCACCCCACTATTTCTCTGTCCATGGGCTATGCATATATGTATAAAAGTTCTTTGGTTAATCTCTTCCCATCACTGCCATTCTCCCTCCCCTCTGAGATCTGTCAGTCTGTTTCATCCATGCCTCTGGATCTATTTTATTCATCAGTTTATTTTATTCATTAGATTCCACATAAAAGTCAGATCATGTGATACTTGCCTTTCTCTAACTGGTTATTTCTCCAGAACCACCCATGTTATCACGAAGGGTAATACCATATTTTCCGGGGTATAAGATGACTTTTGAAATGAAAAAAAGCCTGCTCAGATTGGCCAGAGTCAGAGAGGCGGTCTATTAAAAAAAGAACCAGTGTTGCCTTGGGAGTGGGGGGTAGTCTTATACAGCGAATATAGGCCTAAACCCATGTTTTAACTGTAAAATTAGGGGGGTCGTCTTATACGCCAGAAAATAAGGTACTTCTTTTTTACTTCTGCATAGTATTCCAATGTGCACATGCCCCACAGCTTATTTATTATTTATTTATTTATATTGTTGAAAGTATTATAACTGTCCCTCTTTTTCCCGCATTAACCCCCTCCGCTCTGCTCCCACCCCCTCCCCAGGCCTTTACCACACTATTGTTTGTGTTCATGGGTTATGCATATGAACCTCCCACCCACCCATCCTCCCCCACCTTCTCTCCAAGATTCCACACTCTGTTCCCTGTTTCCATGTCTCTGGATGCACTCTGTTCCTCAGTTTATTTTGTTAATTAGATTCCACATATGAGTGAGATCATGTGATACTTATCTTTCTCTGACTGACTTATTTCACTTAGCATGATGCTCTCCAGGTCCCTCCATGCTGTCTCAAAGGGTAAGAGATTCTTCTCTTTTTACTGCTGCATAGTATTCCATGTTGTAAATGTACCACACCTTTTTTTATCCACTCGCCTGCTGATGGGCACTTGGGCTGTTTCCAGATCTCAGATATTGTAAAGTGTGCTGCTAAGCACACAGGGGTGCATACATTCTTTCTGATTGGTGCTTTGGGTCTCTTAGTATATATTCCTAGGACTTGGATCACTGATTCAAATGGCAGTTCCATATTTAAGTTCTTTAGGAAACTCCATACTGTTTTCCTTAATGGCTACACCAGTCTGCATTCCCCCCAGCAGTGTACTAGAGTTCCCTTTTCTCCACATCCTCACCAGCACTTGTCATTTGTTGATTTGTTGATGGCAGCCATTCTGACAGATGTGAGGTGATTCCTTATTGCCATTTTAATTTGAATCTCTCTGATGATCAGTGACTTTGAGCATCCTATATAATAAAAGCCTAATATGCTAAGTGTTTGGTTGTCCAGCTGTTCAACCAATCAAGGCATAATATGCTAATCATATGCTAAGGCCACTCAACCGCTCGCTATGACATGCACTGACCATCAGGGGGCAGACATTCTAACTGGTAGATTAGCTTGCTGCTGGGGCCCTGCCGATTGGACCTCAGTGAGACTGGCCAGACACACCCTGGAGCCCTCCTGAAGTCCCTCCTTGGCTGGACAGCCTCCTATGTCCCTCCCGGCCCCAATTTTGCACCAATGGGGTCCCTGCGCTCTCTCACAACCCAGGACCCCTTGGGGAATGTTGGAGAGCCAGATTTGGCTCAATCCCACAGGCCAGGCCGAGGGACCCCACTGGTGCATGAATTCATGCACTGGGCCTCTAGTTTTTTCATATGTCTGTTGGCCATCTGTATGTCCTCTATGGAGCAGTGTCTATTTAGGTCCTTTGCCCATTTTTTAATTGGATTGTTTGTCTTCCTTTTTTTAAGTTGTATGAGTTCCTTATATATTGCAATATTTTGGATATTAACCTTTTATCAGATGTGTCATTGCCAAATATTTTTCTCCCATACAGTGGGCTCCCTTTTCATTTTGTTGATGATTTATTTTGCTATGCAGAGGCTTTTTATTTTGATGTAGTCCCATTTGTTTATTTTATCCCTAGTTTCATTTGCCCTAGGAAATGTATCTATAAACATATTGCTATGAGAGATATCTGAGATTTTGCTGCCTATGGTTCTTCTAGGAATTTGATGATTTCCCCACTTACATTTAAGTCTTTCATCCATTTTGAGTTTACTCTTGTGTATGGTGTAAGTTGGTTGTCTAGTTTCATTTTTTCATGTATTTGTCCAATTTTCCCAACACCATTTATTTATTTATTTTTCAAAAAATATTTTATTGATGCCGCTCAGTGGATAGAGCATTGGCCTGCGGACTGAAAGGTCCCGGGTTTGATTACCGTCAAGAGCATGTACCTTGGTTGCGGGCACGTCCCCAGTAGGCATGTGCAGGAGGCAGCTGGTCAATGTTTCTCTCTCATCGATGTTTCTAGCTCTCTATCCCTCTCTCTTCCTCTCTGTAAAAAAATCAATAAACTATTAATATTTTATTAATATTAATATTAATATTAATATTTTATTGATTTTTTACAAAGAGGAAGAGAGAGGGATAGAGAGTTAGAAACATCAATGGGAGAGAAACATTGATCAACTGCCTCCTGCGCACCCCCTACTGGGGCTACACCCACAATCAAGGTACGTGCCCTTGACTGGAATCGAACCCGGGACCCCTCAGTCTGCAGGCCGACACTCTATCCACTGAGCCAAATTGGTCTTTGCTTTACACTTTTTTTTTTTTAATAAATATATCTTCTATCTCTTTTTTCAACATCCTGTAGTTTTTTGAGTATGAGTCTTTTATCTCCTTGTTTAAGTTTATTCCAAAGTATCTTAAGTTTTTTGTTGCTATGATAAGTGGAATTGTTTATTTTCTTTTTCTGAGAGTTCATTATTGATGTATAAAAATGCCATCAATTTCTGGGTGTTAATTTTGTATCCTGTTACATTGTTGAATTCTTTATTAAGTCTAGTAGTTTTTTGGTGGAGTCTTTAGGGTTTTCTATGTACAATACAATAATATCATGTCATCTCACTTAATAAAAGTTTTACTTTCTCCTTTCCAATTTGGATACCTTTTATGTTTTCTTGTCTGATTGCTGTGGCTAGGAATTCCAGTACTATGTTCTAGAATAAGAGTGGTGAAAGCAGACATCACTGTCTTGTTCCTGTTCTTAGAGGAAAGGGTTTAATTTTTGCCCGTTGAGTATGATGTTGGCTGTAGGTTTGTCATATATGGTCTTTATTATATTGAGATATGATCTATTTCCACTTTGCTAAGAGTTTTTATCAAAAGTTGGTGCTGGATTTATTAAATACTTTTTTTTTCATCTATTGATATGATCATGTGATTTTTATCCTTCACATAATGTTTATGTGATGTATCACACTTTTTGACTTGTGAATATACAATACCAGCTTGCAGACCTGTAATAAATTCCACTTGGTCATGATGTATGATCTTTTTAATATATTGTTGGACCGATTTGCTAGTATTTTGTTGAGGATTTTAGCATTTATGTTCATCAGGGATATTAGTCTTTATTTGGTTTTGGAATTAGGATCATGCAGGCCTCATAAAAAGAGCTTGGAAGTGTTTCTTCCTCGGATTTTTTTGAATAGTTTGAGGAATACAGCCGGGACCGGTGTGGCTCAGTGGATAGAGCGTTGGCTTGGGGACTGAAGGGTCCTGGGTTCGATTCCGGTCAAGGGCATGTACCTTGGTTGCGGGCATATCCCCAGTAGGGGTGTGCAAGAGGCAGCTGATCGATGACTCTCTCTCATCGATGTTTCTAACTCTCTATCTCTCTCCCTTCCTCTCTGTACAAAATCAATAAAAAATAAAAAAATAAAAAATAAAATGAATAGTTTGAGGAATATAGGTGTTGATTGTTATTTGAAGGCTTGGTAAAACTCCCCTGTGAAGCCATCCAGACCTGGGATTTTGTTCACTGGGAGTTTTTTTTATTACTACTTCTATTTCATCAGTTGTTATTGGCCTATTCAGGTTTTCTGATTCTTCCTGATTCAGTGTGCCTCCTTTCATTAATCATGGTCCAGCTTGTTGGCACATAGTTGTTCATAGTATTTCCTTAAAATCCTTTGTATTTCTGTGGTGTCAGTGGTTACTTTCCACGTTCATTTCTGATGATATTTATTTTGGTCCTCTCTCTTTGTTTCTTGGTGAATCTGGCTAATGGTTCATCAATTTTGTTCATCCTTTCAAAGAACCATTGCTTTTTGTATTTTTTAGTCCCTATATCATTTATTTCTGCTCTAATCTTTATTATTTACTTTCTTCTGGCACACCCATAATGTGGATGTTGGTAAAATAATAGATCTAAGTAAGCTCACCAATGGCTGCTAAAATTTAGCAAAAGGCTGGAGAAAATATGAAGAGATCTCTCTAAAGGAGAACTATAGAAACAATGGATCGGGCTGACTACTATTAAACCCACTGATCAAGTTTATCACACACACACACACACACACACACACACACACAAGAAATAACCTAACAATATGTGGCTCCTGATATGATGCAATAGGATTTAACAGTTGCATTGTTTGGAGTAGCAATCAATGGGCAACAAGCTAAATGTCCAATAACATAGGACTGATTAAATAAATCGAAATACTGTGAACACCGAGTAAGCCCTTCATGACTAAGAGTGTTTTCCAGGTACTGATACCTAGTTATTATATTTTTAAGTCTTAAAAAAGTGCACAATGTGCCTCCTATACTATTTATGCAAAAGATGGGGGTAAGAAAAACACGCACATTTATTTGCTTGTACCTAGATAAAATCTCTGGAAGGATACAAAGACACTGCTAACATCTGTTGCCTTTTGAGGGGATAGCAGGCTTCTTGATGGGATAGCAGTGGGAAGAAACTCTTCAATGCATAACCTTTGTACCTTTAAATTTTGAACCATGTAAATATATTATCTATTAAAAAGTTAAAAATTAAAAAATATTCAAAGAAGCTAAATACAAAAAAAAAAAAAGATTACAAGAGAATACTGTGAATAACGTATGCTCACAAATGAGCTAATTTAAATGAAATGGATAATTCTAGTCCAGTCTTTCAGCAGGCGGCCGGCAGGGGGCACACGGCCATCGGAGTGAACGCAAAACCCCCTGCGCTGCGCCTCCAGAGCCACAAGAGGACGCGCGAGCCCACTCTTAATGACTGGCTTGCAGATTTGCGGCGGGGTCTTTGGGGTAAAGCCCTTGGTGTCTGCGCCTGTGAGCTGAGGGGGGAGCTTTGGCCCCGGCTTCTTTAGAAGTTTTTTTTGTTTTTTTTTCTTTAATACCTAACGCAGCAGCTTTCATTTTCTGAAATGTTCCTGTTTTATTTTCTTCTTTCTCATGAAATATTTTATCAGACCTTTTACAAAAGCCATGCTCGCAACTTGAGGAAGCATTTTGTGTAGTTGAGAGAAAGAACCGCAGGCGGTGGTGAGAGGCACGGGCAGTGTGGTTTCCTTCCAGTCCCATCGGAGCCCCAAGTGAGCAGGGAAGAAACTAGCGCTCCTCTGGCATGCTTTCATAAGAAACTTAAGGTTTCATTTCCTTGTAGCTTTAAAGTACTTGAAAAAAGACAATATTGTAATGCAGGAGCGTTAAAAATAATTTTTAAAAGTTTAATTTAAACCACAAGAAAATTGATCATACATTTACTCTCCTGGCTTTAATGGTAGCAAACTCATTAATAATATTTAAAAAAACATATTCTTTCTTTATTTTATTTTCACTTTAGACAAGTAACATGTTATACAATTTCTCATGACCTAGTGACAATCTATAATAATAAAAGAGTAATATGCTAATTAGATAGATATGCCTCCAGATGACCTTTCACATGAAGCCGGGGCTGTGAGGGAAGCCCGGGTCCCAGGTGCCTACTGGTGGCCAGAGGGAAGCCTGGGTCCTGGGTGCCAGAGGGAAGCCGATGCCAGCAGCCGAGGGAAGGAAGGCCTACTCTTGCACGAATTTCATGCATCCGGCCTCTAGTCTTAAATAATTGTCCATTAATTCAGCCTTCTCTTTTGCAGGGGCTCTATTGTAACTAGTGGTGTTAACATTTCCACAAATCCTCTTCCTTATGTGGAAAAGAGCTCAGCAAAATTTGTTAATCAGGGTTTGGAGATTGAAACATTATCTTTTAAATTTCAGTACCAATGATTGCACTGAAGACTTGATGTTTAAATTAAGCCTGAGCATTATGACTGTGGGTGGGAGTTATGTGGGTGGTGCTGTGGAAATTAACTGCTGATTATAGAAATAACAGCAATGCTTGATTGTGTTTCTGTGTTTTGAGAGGTTGGTCAAAGGTTAATTACTAGGTATTTAGTGGAGCTTATTTGAAATTGGAGACAAGAGGAGAAGTAATTTTTATTTGAGGAAGAAGTTCTGGGCTGCAGTTTGAGATATATTTCCTTTTAACTTCCTGTAACACATTCAAGTAGAATTAAAAATATATATTTTATTGATTTTTCACAGAGAGGAAGGGAGAGGGATAGAGAGCTAGAAACATCGATGAGAGAGACATTGACCAGCTGCTTCCTACACCCCCCCCCCAAGGATGTGCCGCAATCAATGTACATGCCCTTGATGCCCTTGACCGGAATCGAACCTGGGACCTTTTAGTCCACAGACCAATGCTCTATCCACTGAGCCAAACTGGTTTCGGCTAGAATGTTTTTAAAAATATATATTTTTATTTCAGAGAAGAAGGGAAAGAGAGAGAAAGAGACAGAAACATCAATGAGGAGAAAGAATCATTGATTGGCTGCCTCTGCATCCTCCCCCCCCCCCCCCCCCCCCCCCGATCAAGCCTGCAACCTGGGCATGTGCCCTTGATGGGAATCAAATCTGGGTCCTTCAGTCCACAGGCAGATGCTCTATCCACTGAGCCAAATCAGCTAGGGCTGCAAGTAGAATGTTTTAATTTTTATTTATCTTTAAAATTATCATTGATGTACAATATTATATTAGTTTCAGGTATACAACATAGTGATTAATCATTTATGTACCTCATGAAGTGATCACCACAATAAGTAGACATGAATTTTGAGACATTTTCACCAGATATAACAATGAAGGAAACTGAAGCAACAGAAGAAATGCAGAAGAGTTCTAAGACAGTGTACAGGCAAAGGAGAGTACAGGAGCTGGAACTGAGACTTGGGGTGTTTCAACTAGTACTTTTGAGGAGGAACTTGCAAAGGACACCGGAAGGAAGTATGTATAGTAGTTTGAAGATAGTCAGAGCCTGAGATGTCAGAAGACTCTGGGAAAAAGAATGATCTCAAAAGGAGGTCATGGTCCAATTATTCTTTATTTCCAAGTAAATGAAGACAAACACTCATTGGGCTTATTTATGGAATGACCGTGGTCATCACAGCAAGATTTATGTATGAGGAGATCAGTGAAACTGGAAGTTAAAGGTTGGAGATTTGAGGAAATGTAACTGAACATTTAGTTTCATAAGAGGAAGAAAGGGGTAGGACTGGAGCTATAGAAAGATGTGATGAGGAATTTTCTTTTAAAGATAAAAAATAGTGAGTTCAAGATGAGAAAGCAGATGGTAAAGTGATGGAGAGGTTGATTTGTAATTAATAACATGAAATTCATAGGACTATAGGTGTAAATTAGAAAAATTGAACATAGCTAGGGGAAGGCATCACTTTTCAGTTTTAATGAGAAGAGTAAACAAAGAAGGGATATTTGTATATTTTATAATAATGAGCTGAGATATTTTGTTAAATCATCTATTCTGTGTAGTAAAAAATCAGGGGGAAGATGAGACATATAACACTCAAAATGCATAGAGCATGTGGGAGATATTCATGGAGCCTATTGATTTCTGAGCTCGATGTTGGGATTGCCTGATGTATTAGAAAGACAAGTAGAGGTTTGTGACTCTATGTGTAGACCAGGATGATTAGCCAGTCCTGTGCTGGGCCCGATGAAGCCATGGAATAGGAAGCAATTGGAGTACGTACCTGGGATTGGGGTCGATCAGCAGATGAGGGGGAAGGTGGGAAGGACATGAGGATTGTTGGTCTTGGTGTATACAGTAGATCCCCATCTATGGTTTCACTTTTCACAGTTTCAGTTACCACAACCACCACAGTCTGAAACAAATGTAAAATTTCAGAAATGAACAATTCACAAAGTTTAAATTGTGCGCTGTTCTCAGTAGCGTGATGAAATCTCTTGCCATCCCACTTCGCCACCACCATCAGTCACCTACCTCTGTGGGGTGACTGGTGGGGCAATCAAGGAACACCCCCCCCCCATCTTGTCTGGCCTGGGGGCAGCTCCTGTATTAAGCACCTGCTCCCTGGTGGTCAGTGTGTGTCATAGTGACCAGTCATTCCACTGGTTGTTCTCTTGTTTGGTTAATTTGCATATTAAGCTTCCCCCCCCACCCACTGAATGATTTTTTTAAAAAAAATTTCTTTATTGATTTTTTTAAAAAAAATTCTTTATTGATGATTTGTCCTCATCCCCCCAATTCCCATCCCAAACCCCTCCCCATGCATACCCCCACTCCCCTGTTGTCTGTGACCACTGGTTAGGCTCATATGCATGCACACAAGTCCTTTGATTGATCTCTCCCCCTTATCCCTACCTTCCCCTACCTTCTCTCTGAGATCTGACAATCTGATCTATACTTCCTTGACTCTGGGTCTGTTCTTTTCATCAGTCCATGTTGATCATCATTTCCCCTAGATGACTGAGGTCATGTGCTAATAGAAATACACTTATAAGAACTGAAAATGAGACAAGCAATATGTATGGTTATGCTGAGAGGCAAATCAGTCTATAGTGAGTTTCTTTCTGGGCCAACAGTTCTTTTGAGACCCAATTTCAATGTCAAACAGTTCCTTATGTGTACATGTCAGCAATGATATTTGGATGGTGGACAGATAGTGGTATTGCAGGTTGGACTCTCCCTGGTTTGGTCCTGGGCAACCTGCAGTGGCACACAGCTGCTGACTGCTATTATGGCAAGGCGTCGTCAGCGTCTTCCATCTCTGGACTGCTTCTCTTCTGTCTTCATGGCTGGAATAGTCTTACCAATTCCTTTCTGTTGCAGGAATCCACATGGTCTCAGAGTTGTTTTCTGAAAATATACAAACATATTCTCAACTGGAAGTTAATAAAGGAATCTTTCCTATAAATTTGACTTGCGATCCTTTTTCATTTTTTGCCCAAATGATTTTCCTTTGGCTTGTTTTGACACCATATATGTTTTACATGGGTGGCTTGCGATTGCATATTAAGTTTTTATTTTATAGGATTGTTGTACCTAATTTACAAATTAAGCTTTATCATAGGTATGATGTATGGGAAAAACAGTGTATACAGGGTTTGATACTCCTCTTGGTTTCAGGCATCCACTGAGGTCTTGGAATGTATCCTCCACAGATGAGGAGGGTATTGTATATGTTAAAACTAGTATATGAATTCAACTGGGGTCTCATACATGAGAT